ACCAAACTTATTTTACCCCAGCAGCTGAGTAACATCTGACAGCTGAGAATCCGGGCTGGATTTCGACCAACAAAAGTGCCGGATAAAGGCACCATATCCTATTAAAGAAGAAATCTCTGCAGGAGTTGATCAGTAAAGCAAAGGTGCGTTCCTTTTGTCAGAGCATCTCAAAAAATATTGCTTGGCCAGGAGAGGATTTGGGAGCCTTCCTTAAATCCTAGCTATTTTAGGGTTTTGTCACTGTTTCGTAATGGAGGCAGGAAATGAAGTGGGAGTGAGGGTCAAGAGAGCTGAGAGGGAGCAAGTCTGCCACCTGCTTAAATGCTGAATTTCTGTAGCTGGGCGCCGTTGCTTTGAGCGTGTCCCTGGGCGCCCAGGGTCTGTGCCAGCCCATCTGGACCCGGGGGGTGCTGTTTACAGATCCCCAAAATTTCCGGCGGCTCAAGGCGAGGTGCGTCGCGAGGTGGGTCTGCACGTGTCTCGTTGGGAGCTGGAGCAGGAGGGTGGAAGCCACGCTCGGCGCTCGAGCGGGGGCAGCGTGTGGAAGCTCTGAGGAGGAGGCAGAAGTTGTTAGGCAGACGTGGGATTGTGTCGCTGGTGCGCGGGATGGTGCTTCTCATAGCTCTGCTGTTCTGGGAGCGAGCAGGGGCTGAGCTCTCAGCAGGGCACGGGGAATAGAAAGAGCCTTGTCATGGTTCCCTCTCCCCCCAGGCAGGCAGCGAGCTCCTCGCGCTGCGGCCTCTGGGCCCCTGGCTGCGCGAGGGGAGCCGCGGAGCGCACGGCTGCTGCTTGGCTTGGTGGCAGGTCCTTTGAGGTGAAGAATTCGGGGTCCTGACAGATGTTATAAAGGAGAAGAAAAACCAAGGACTAGGTTGCAGGGAGAGAGATGCTCCAGACAGTTCCCTCCTTGTGAGCCTGTGGTGCAGCCAAGCACTGAAAGACAAGCTTCTCCCTGAGCTCCTTGGTGCAACTCTTCCCTGTCTTCTGTGTCCAGCGTGGAGAGGCCCTGAGAAGACACTAACCCCCCCTCACAAAGCAGTCCTTTCAGCCTGGGTCGTATTTTTAGCAAAGCACGATTCTTCTTCAGTTTCTAAAGTAGCAAGTGGGGAATGCAGCCTACATCAGTGCGGGATGCAGAATGATCTCATTCAGGCTGCAGCATCTGTTTGGATTGAAACAATTACCAGTGATATCAGGAGATCTGCATTTTTTCTTGTTATAGCTGGAGACCGTGGTAAACAAGAACTGTTTTCTCTGTGTGCTTTCTGTGTCAGACTGGGGAGGGATGCTTCTGTGCGCTGGCCAGGGTCTCAGACCACGAGCCTTGCATTTCCAGCAACTGTCTTTGCCTTTGTGCTTTGGAGGCAATTTGCTTTTTCTTTCACAGTCTTTGGTCATTGTTCAGCCACGTGAGCAGCAGAAACACCGGTGTATACTTCCTTTCTGCTGGTGTTAGCTGAGATTCTGTGACTTGTTTGTGTATCAGTCTGTGTTAAAGTAAATGCTTCAAAGGGAAATAGACCAATAAAAAACCAGCAGAAAACATGAATTCCCGTGTTTTCTTTAGCGTCTCAGAATACCGGTGCTTTGCAAAAGTCGGGTTTGCCCTGTATCTGTTTTCTTTCTCCCGTTTTCCCAGCTCTCCCCAGCAGTTTGCTGGCAGACAGGGTGCTCTGGCACCCAGCCCTTTAGCTGTGCCTGTTAGACGATGCTTCCTCATAACATGACAGGTGAAATTGCTGAAAGACTTGTGAATCAGGGACCGGTTTGCTAAGCAGGTTATGAGGGCTCAGATGAGTTCTGCCGTTAATACTGTTCGCTCTTTTCTTTAGGCTAAACAACAGAGAGCTTCTGAGGGCAGGAACTTTAATAGGATCTGTGATTTTTCTTTGCCCTTTATGATTACAGAAACAAAAGAATAAAGTTTTGGTTAAGCTACTTCCTGCCAAAATTCCGCAAGTGCAGCATTGCTGGGTAGTTTTTCCACTGTGTTTTGAACGTTTGAGCGGTAATGTTCAAAAAAGGCGGTTGTGTCCGGACACACTTTTAATCGTGCGGAGTGGGAGCCCTGCCGCCTGTGCCCGGGTGCGCCCAGCAGGCACACGGCCGTCTCTGGATCTTGCGGCCCTCGGGCAGGGGCGCGCGGCGGGGCGCTGGCGCTGAGGAAGAGGGAGGCTGCGCAACCGGCACCTGCCTTGGGCACGGTGGCGGGGAGGCCGGGGCGGAGGAGGGACGGCAGTTTCCCATCTCAGATGGGCGAGTTCATCGTTTCCCGGAACGGGAGCGGGTGCAGCGGGGATGGACTGAACCCGGGAGCCGTGACAAGACCCTTCCGAGGCCCTGGGGCGCGGGCGCCAGCCCATCGCGCTTGTTCTCCTTGTTCCCCGTGAACGCAGCGGGGCGGTTGGGTGCGCTTTCCGTCGCTGGGCTGCGGCAGGGCTGCGCCCGGTCCGTTGCCGGAGCGGAGCTGGTGGCAAAAGCGCAAACTGAAAGCGGGGAGCGCGGCGCCCCCGGTCAGCTGGAGCTCCCCGGGGCCATTGTTCGGCAGCTGGCCGGGCCGCGCGGCTCGGCGCAAACAACCCTTTGCATGAGGCGGTTGTGTGGGAAGGGCCAATGGCGAGCCCGAGCGAGGTGACAAACATGTGAACTCGACACAATCCCCTTTGTTCTTTCCCTGGCAGGGCGGCTGAACGTTGCTCTCGTT